CATATTAAAATTACCCTTAATTTACTAACTGGCTTTAAAGGGTTTTGTTGTTGTTTTTAAACAGTCGAAACATATTAATGAGATTCAATGCATTAACTACAGCAAGAGTCAGTAAATTACAGTCTGCAGGCCAAATCTGGGCCTCTGCCTCTTTTTGTACTGCCTGCGAACTAAGAATGATTTTTATACAGTTTTCTGACTGCTGAACTAAAGCAAACTTTTTATAACAAAATTTTAAAATTCACTTTACCTTAAAAGAAGTCACTGACCTATCTCATACAAAAATAAAAAGAATTAGTATCCTTCAGAAATAAAGTTTCCCATTCCCATACTCTGTAATCAGAGTAGCAATTTTTCTGACAGCAAGAATCTGGAAATCAAGGAGTATGCAGAGTAGTTGAGGAATGGCTGAACAAATTGTAGCATGTAAACATAATGGACTATGGTTTGCTACTAAGAAATGATGATTACTAGGAACCCCAAGAAATATAGGAAGATTTATATGAACTGATGCAAAATGTAGCTGAACCAGGAGAACAATTTTTAGACAAAAACTAGAATAATGATTAACAAGAACACTGAAAGAAGTTGACTTCTGAGGTTGTTGAAATATCAATTTTGGTTCTGTAGAACTGATGATTAAACACATCTCCCTCCTACTAGATGCAAAGTAGGAGACCACAGGTGAGCAATGTTGCATACACTGTTACGACACAGTCAAATGTTCAACGGTGAAATGTTCACAATTTTGCTTAACTGTTTTTCTTTGTTATAAGAGAGGGCTAAATTTGTGGGGGAGGTGTGAACCCTCCCTATATTGAACTACAACATGAACCTACTGTTCTGGTTCCATCTGCAAAGGACTGTTGTAAAAACCAAAGATATCAATACAATTTATTTTCCAAATAAAATGAGTGTATTTTACTCAAAGGTAAGTTTTACAATATTTTTACCTTTAAAAGGCCTCTGTGAAAGAAAGTTAAGCCTTTGTACAGCATAGCTATAGCTTGATTTTTGTTCAGTTCTAAAGATTGCTGAAAGTCTTCATGGGCTGTTGCATAGTCCTACAAGAAGGGAAGGGAAATTATTGAAAAATGAAAAGTATTCTTTGTTGAAACAAAATTCTAATTCATTTTGTTACTAAACACAGGCATCTGGTTTTAGGACTCACTTCAAAGTTTCTATTTCATTCACCAAGATGTTTATGATTTTCTTAAGAAATGTTGGAAAGGAAAAATCCCTCACAAAGGCTCAACTACTCTTTATCTCAATTATAAAACTGAGATTATTCCAAAGTATTTTTCATGCCTTGGCTATTTCACCAGTTAATTCTTATCTTCCATTTTCCCCCAACATGAACCCTCTGTTTTGGCTCCATCAAAAACTACTAAAAGGGCAAATCTTCTTGCTATAAACTCCAAGGAACTGTTCAAATTGTTACTATAATCCTCATGGAGAAGCCACAGTCACATTATAATACTTGGTCCAGACTCAGAATCACAGCTAGAAGTTAAATACTGATGCTGCTGATATGCATCCATAATAATATCTATAAGAGAAGTGAAAATACAACTTCTGCTCCAAGTTTTCTTCTGCTTCTTACTTTTCTTATCCTAATCCAACCAGTTAGTAAGTACAGGCCACCAAAGAAAGAAGTAAATTACAGGCCCTTAGCATTTTCCCACAGGATATTATTGTGAAAAAGAGGCTGTTTTCAAAAATGCTTTCCATTGCAAAGCTGCAAAACAGTCAGACCTACACCTGCCCCCTTCCCCCATATCATTATCATCAACAGTTTTCTAAGGCAAAGGGAAAGTGAAATCTTTCTTACTATAGTGGAAAATGTCCCAAAGCAAAAACAACTCACCTCTGATATGAAATGCAAGGTCCCCCTGTGTCAATAGAGTCGTGCTGATGGCTGCAGTTGGATAGCTTTAGTGAGATCACTTACTGCTTCACTGATTCGTCCCAGAGGGGACAGTATCTAAAACCAACATATTCCATTAAGCTAGAGGGAGATCTAGGTCACCTTAAAACTGATGAACACTTTTAATATTTCAATACTAATTTCATCTTTCTGTTTTAAAAATCAATTTTACTTAGTATAAGCACATAGCTGAATTCTTTGTACTTTGCTCAAATAGCCAAAGAAAACAAAATGATGTATTTCTTTGTCCCATGAAGAACATTGGTGAATTGACTACACGGCGATTGCTTTCACATTATTTCACATTCTGAGGCATAATAGATGCTACTTTTCTTCATATGTGCACATATTTCTTCTCTTGTTATTTATCTTTCAAATTCTATAAAATTGGAACTTGATATACATTGTTTAAAATATAGCTAAGAAGATTCATCTGAGTGACATCTCTGAATCATAAAACTAAGTCACATTTCTGGACACATTTCGACACTTACCACAATCTTTAAATACACACTCCATGGTAGCAAGTTCTATATATAGCTAGGGTTGAATGACAGCTTGCAAATTTCCAGCCCTTCATTTGTGTCTAACTTGGAAGATGCTATTTTCACTGGTTAGCTTTCTAAAGAACCCTCATTCTTTTGGGATATACTTTTATGTTTGGCCATCATTTGGAGGTGAAGTTATGATCTTGAAAGTTAAAGTGAAAAGACATGCTGATGACCATATGACATGGAGTAATGCTTCAATTATCCATAGGTCACTTATGCAGCAACAGCAACTCTCCAGAACATAATTGGGAACCTATAGGTAAGCAAAAAAAAAGGCTCTGAGTAGCCAAAATAGGTATTATGAAACCCAAGCACTTTACTCAGAGTAAGAGTTCCCAGCAACTATTTATTCTCAGAAATAATCCTAAAAATTATGGTGTTGAGGAAAGAGTGCTGAACCCAGAGCCAGAACTAGGTCTGAGTTCTGCCTTAGACATTTACTAGATATAGGAATATAAGACATAACTTCTTCAAACCCTACTTTAGGGAATGTGCTTCGTAAATTCAAAAGCACTAGACGAATGGGAGTTTTTATTAGGTTTCTCAGTCCTAAGTCCTCAGTTCTCAGTTACCCCAGTGCTTGGAACTAGAAAATTAAATAAAATTAAATACAGGCTGGCTTGATTCTGCCAGCATCCAGCATTCCCTCTCTTCCTTCCTAATGACATCTGTGAGCACGTCAGCTTTGGGTTTATCCATATAAGACATAGTCTAGAGGAAAGGAAAGAATAAATAAAACAGTGACTAGGAAGACAAGGACATGTTGAATCATCACACACATACACATACAGACACACACAATCTTAAAGGCAGTCTTTCTGATAGCACAAGTAATCTTCACAAGGGAGGAGCAAAAGATAGGGAAGTTTGTATCATTCAAAGGAAGCTAAATGACAATCTCTAAACTAAGAGCATCCTTAGGGTCAAGGAAAACTCACTTGAAACAAAGGGACCCAATTTAAAGGAATAAATTGCATATACAGGCTATCCCAGAAGTCCAAAGCTGCTATCGTTTTTTTGTAAAGTTTTTTCAGATCTAAACATGATCCTGGGACATTTTGGAGCTGGGCTGGGCACTCCCTCCAAAACTTTGAACTGGAAACACCAGGCATCTGAAGACCAAGTGTGGGGATGACCAGGAGGCAGAGAAGCACATTTTGCCCAGAGTGCTTCCTTCGTTTCCAAATGCCTGTCCATTTTAATTGCTTTCCCACCTCAGTGGAAACTCTCAAGGGGCTCTCACACAAATTACATGTGACTAAAGAGTAATGAAACAATATATGTCCAAGTGAATGTTGTTCCCCAAAGTAGTTCCTTATTCTAACAACACTCCAGATATTTCTGGAAATTCTCTTACATCTGCCTTCAGAGAGAGTTCGTAAGCCACACAAGAAAAATCATTCTCATCACTTCTTAGTTACACCTTATTTTTGATCAAATACAGTATTATTACCTAGCTTTCTCATTCAACAATTCATTCTTTCAATCAATCAATACATAGTGCCTATTCTATGCAAAGTACTATCCTTGGGGCTACAGTAGTAACAGAGAAAAATAACAAACATCTCCTGTCCTCAAAGACTTTTCTACCCAGTAGGGGAGAGAAGACATGCACACAAATAAATATAACACATGGCAGATTATGCTAAGTGACACACACAAAGACATACTCTAAGAATTTAAAAGAGGAAGAAAACATTCCCGTATGGTAAGATCAGGGAAAACTCCAAGGCCCAATCCAAATGCCACTCCCTTTATGAAGGACAGGTGGGATTTCAACAGATGAAGATGATGTGAAAAGCATTCCAGGGGAAGCAAGCAGCTTGAGCAAAAATTCGGGTGTCAAGTAGGCTGAGGACTGAAAAAAGATCATTGGATTTGGTTA